CAATTTGCAATGGCACACTCATGTATCGTATTACAAGGGCTATGCAAATCTCTAATTTGAAAAAAATCTGACTGGTAAGCCGTACATTGTGATTGCGAGTGCTGAGTGAGCTCCAACCTTGATCGCTCACATAATAGGCCTCCAGATATTTGAGATAAGCAGTCTAAACGCTGCCTGGCTGAAAGAAAAAACAGCGGAAATTCGCAGAACTTGCAACCGTAGAGTTAAAAGAATTGATAAATGCTGGTATTTCTCATTTTGAAGAGAAACCGAAAGAATTTGCATGAGCTATGGAAGAATTTCGTTGGACCTCATAGAGAACTAGAACACTCGGAGCACATAGTAGCACTCAATGGGATAAAAATGCCAATCAAGGGCCATCATTTGCACGAAGCCGACATACAGAGTTTTCATATGTTTAACCGGCCATAGCCTTCGGCTACTTTTACATTCAACGTCAGGCGAGAAGGAACTCAACAGAAAAACGATTTGTGACATACCCGTCCATTGCGAAGTTTACTGGAATGAATCAAAAACTTCCTAATTGTATTTTTAACAAATTCAAAATTTTGTCACCTTCGAAAGCAACGATTACGATATTTTCCAAGCCTTTCTTAACACATGAAAAAATAACTCGGACCTTGAGAATTTGGAACTTTTATGGGACTTCACTTCTACCAGCATTTCAGGTTCGTTATTCTTGTTTTTTTTTTCGGTAGATCTTTTTTTTGTTGTGAATTGTAACCTTCTGATAAGAAAAACGGCCTGATGGAGAAAAAAAATCATCCTTTTAGAAAAAAAGTCGATACGTTTCGGACAAAGGTTTATACTCTATTTCCCAGTAGTGGACATTCCCTCTTCGACCCCTCGTACAAAAATGTCGGGCGATAGTGCTGCTATGAGCGGCAGCAAAAAGGGCTGTAGCGGAGCATAAGCTATGCTCAATATTGAAATATGCAGCATTCAGTGCGTTTCATAATCAACACCCATTTCCTTACGATTGCCTACAAACAGAGTTGGATTCTACCCAAGCGGCCCAAACTCGGTACGAACTCAAAAAGTATAAAATTTTTCAGGTAGAAATTGTATTGAGACAAAATTGCAAAAGCTTTGCATCAAGCGGTATCTGAGCCGAGGTCCTGATGTAAGATAGGAAATTGAATACGAGTTGAAAGAAATTTCAAAGACAAAAGGCAACCCTGGTGCCGTCAAGGAATCAATGAAGACGGCGGCCTTGTAGGGAATGGATCATTGCTGAGCCTTGTTCAATCAATAAACTATGAACCCAGTAACTTAACGGTTGGTTACTTTTCAAGAATCGCAATAGAGCTAGGTATTAGAGTTGGCTCAGCTGACAGAACGACCATTTTTGGGCATGGAAAATTCACGACTATCGTCGTTTTCGAAGGCAGGACAATGGGATGGGCGACTTTGATACACATCGAAATCAGTTTTGGGCGACTTTAGTTCACCTGGAAGAAAGCATGAGTCCCTCGAGAACATCTTGGAAACCTTCGCAGCAACATCGTTTATAAGAATCAGATAAAAAAAGAGTACTTTATAGAGAGAACAAAGCAAAAAGGAATGCAGCGGCCCCCGGCAGTATCGGAGAATCAATGAGGATGGGCGGTCTTATTGGTGATTCGAGATCGTGACCTCCAATCACCAGCTTGACCATTACATTATTCAGTACAATTACAATGTTATTAAACATATAAGCAATAGGAAATGGCTCGAGGACAAGAAGTTACTCGACGCATAGCTAAGAACCCTTGATCCAACTGGTAACTATCCGAAGTTCTGGTAGAGTTGGTTGTCAGAGGTGACCGGGTGGCCGATTGATCAATGGGGCATGGAAGATTCCGAAACCGAGACTGCCATGTTGCACTGGACATATGAGGTTCATAATAAACCAAAGGTGTTGTGAGGAATCAAACCTGACTCACTTGGTTAAAACCATGAACTCTACCACTTCACCATATGGAACGGGGTGTCGGAATTGTACTAGCGTTCATGGCAACGTCGTCGTCTTTTGTGCGACTGCAATCCACAGGAGGTAGCTAGTCCACATCAAATGCATTACAGTTCACTATCGAACTTCGAGCTTATCAATGTTTCCAATAGGAGTGGGGCTCTGGTTTTCTCATGTTGACAGTGGGATCCTGGACCTGGGGTTCTAACCTCCAAGACGAACTGATGTCGATGCACTGCGGCATCTGTAGGTTGGAGAATTCTGGCTCCTTCCAAGTTCTCTTCCGTCAGTTTATCGCTTCTTCAGTCTCTTCTGTTTGGCCTTCGAGCTGTGATGAACTTGACTTTTGCGTAATTCGATACTGAGACGTACGGAGACGTTGGGGTGCGTCTCAGACCGCTAAACACTTTGTTCCAAATTCGTAATATTGGCAAAAGTCATAGACACTCACATTTCCATCATGTTCCTCCCTTTTTCTTCGATTTTGCCCTCCTGCCTATGAGTCTTTCCTCCTTTTCTCCTTACTATTCGATTTTGATTGCACGTTTCGACTATGGGTGAATTGAACTCGAGCCCTTATCAACTGAATTGACTCATTTCCAAAGAGGGTGAAGCTGTGGATAATCCAGCCCATTCCCGAGCCACCAAAGCCAACACCACCACCTGAACGGATT